CTAAGACCTAGCAAGGAAGAATTGGTCACATACATGTACCATTTGCTATGCTCGTGCCACACCCATTTTGAGTTGAAAATATGACCAAAATCCTAATAAGTATACACATGACATCAAGAGTACACAAAATAATGTTATGTACTCTTGATGACATGTGTAGGATCTAGCAAATTACCGTATTATCTCTATTATAAGCACGGTCGATCCTTTATTTTTTCAATGTACCTCCGCCCCATGCTATTAATGGAGACGTTCCTTTATTGGAGACTGTTCCATTATAATTTCAACCTCATTTCATAGGCATGTTGCCATGGCCAAATTCATGTCAGACACACACATTTCAGGGTTTTTCGCCGGTACAGACAATGAATTTACACAGTGTGCTTATAATGGAGACTGGGCACTTTATTTTTTGAATGCCGCCCCAAGGTGTTCTATTATTGGAGACGTGCTATTATTGGAGACTGTGCTTATATTAGAGATCATAGGGTAAGAGGTAAGGATACAGAATCACAACTCAAAACACCTCCTTGTACAGAAAAAAATTATCGTCTATACAGTGATCGCAACACAAGACTGTCAAGAGTGTGAGGCATTGATGTCTCAGCTTGGAGCCACATGTGTGTTTTCATAGTGTGTTCTGGTCTGATGCTTCCTGGATGATGCCTTGGCCGCATAATTTTGCCACAAACTTTTCGATATTCTGCTTGGCATTTCCTTTCTCCGTCGATATTTTGCTTTGGTTTTGCTCGAGATAAAATGAGTTGCAAGGAAAAATCAACAATAATTGTCGCTGATGACACCCCAGCGGCAAATGCTTGCACCCAAAGTAGCATAAAAGGGCCTTTTTGTGACTCCACACGATGCTAGCATAAACAGCAGTTTTTACCGGCATCCGATACATTTTTGCCAATTTTGGCATTCTGGATGTGGAATTCGGTCTAGATTACACTATGAAACTAGTATTACGGTACTACCACATTGATAATTGCATGCACTACATTCAATTTGTTTGCATTACCTAGTTGTGACCAAGACCCACATTGCCATTGGTACTTCTTGGTATTTGCTCTTTTGTATTGCAAATATTTCCATAGCAACATGATGCCAACATCGCACCTTTAAAAACTCTTTTTACATACCTGCTTTGTGAGAATTCATAAATAGCACGGAACACCGTTTTCAACCCAAATGTTTCACCATTACCATTAATAGGTAGCATAATTCGTGTTGTCTAGCATCCAAACTAGCATCTTTCTGAGTTGTCGGCTAGCATCCCAAAAAGCATCTTGGCAACATTTAGCTAGCATCTGCCGCTGGGGCCTAATGACGAGGCATTTTTGATTCAGCTCCTGCTGCTGCTCAACTTTCTACAAAAATTGTGGCCATGAGTCTGTTTTGTCCAACTTTTGTGCTTGTTTTCAACTTTGGTGACTGATTGTGTTGAGAAAGTCCCTGAGAAGCCTTGGATTTTCTCAAAAGCCCACCAAAACTCGATATTTTGCTCAAAACTTGCCGGCAACTAGCGCATCCGATATTTTGCTCAAAGAATTGCTAGCAAATTTGGGCTGTGAGTATGACTAGCGCATATGGGTACATGTACAACCAAGAGTACATATATCATTATGTAAAGAATATCTCATGAGTACGAGGGTGATACCGGCGAATATCAATCCCGACTGCGAAGCAGAAGGGATTGATATGAGGGTACGGTAGCACCCGAGCTACGAGGGTGATATTCTACTTATCACATATGACCCTACGAACCTAACACGTACGACCGTCATATCCTGCTTATCACATGCTACATGTGTACATCGAGTCCATAAACATAAACATGATACTACAATTGTAGTACTACCCACTACTGTACATGTAGTAGATTTGACCCTGTGAACTGAATAGGACGTAGATAATCAAGCGAGGTACAGAGGGCTTGATGGCTGATCAAAGCCCAAGGGTCCAGCCCGAGGGCCGTAGGCCCAAGGGCTGGGCCCGAGGGCTTTGATCAGCCATCAAGCCCGACTGTACCTCGCTTGAATATGCTTCAGACGATCCCCAACATGTGGACAATGTCGGCCTTTTCTTTTGGGATTTCAGAGCAGCCTGAAGTCTAAAGTGCATGTCGTTTTCGTCCCGTTCGTAAGTTTCACACAGAGATTACAGCAAAGGGAAAGTAATGTCAGTGGACGAAAAACCTGTTTCGTGAGAAATTTCTCAGGACTACGTGTCAAGAGCCAGACGTGGCTGAAGAGTCACGGAAGTATTTTCACTTCCACCATACACGCCTTGCTCACGCTGCATACTGCTGAGAGTTCTGCGGTGCTGGAGCTAGATTTCCAACTCCACAAGTTGAGAGCCACCGCATCCCCGACCACCACCCCTATCGGTTTCTTGTTTTTATAGCCAGATCACCTTGAAAAGACTGAGATTGGGCATGATCAGGGCTTTGATGGTTTTGTCGTACAGTTGCCAATGGCAGCGGGCTTTGATGGTTTTCTCGTACAGGTTGTCAATGACAGCGGGCTTTGATGGAATATCAAAGCCCGCTCTCCGAGGCTGCTGATTGGTCGTAACCTAGCAAAGGGCACGTGGGTCGTTTGAAATCACATTGTGTGGAGACCCTCTCCGATGCCACACCCATTCACCCCCGTCTGACACATCATTCGCGGGACAGAAATATTCAAAGCTTCGAATTGTTTTATTATTATTATTATTATTTCACAATCACGATGACATAGTGCCAATAAGCATGTGATGCGGGCGATTTTAACCAGCCATGGTGGGGACAACTGAGAAAAAGAAGGAGAAGAAAAAGAGAAAAGAAAACAAAACAAAAGGAGTACTATAGGAACCTGGAGAGAGCAGTATGAAGATTAGGCTAGCAATGGAAAACAACGAATTCAATTCAATTCAACTTAGGCGCGGGCAGAATGGAACAAAATGCAGCGAAGGTGTCACGAGACTTTACCTCCTGCGGAAGCCGAGACCAATGAGAATAGGACTTGAACAGAGGGGATTTTAAAAGGATCGATGACCTGGCAAGTGGGAAATGGAGAGAACAGTTTTAGTTGAAGTCTAAGCAGAAGTGAAAGGACATCAATGTAAAAGAGTCCCAGGAAATAGAGATAGAAGAGAAGATGATGAAAATGAAGCAATATACTGCACTGTATCTGAGAATTAGCGCTGCTCACAGGCTTTGACATCATGAACGTGGATGTGAACAGCGCCTGCGAAGTTTCCGGAGAAGATGAACTTTGCGCTGTTCTCCGAACTGACACACGATGAGGCTGGCGAGGCTGGTGGTACTTGTGGCCTTTCCAAGGCTTCCAATTCAGCCGGAGTTGACTCCTGCAGAGCTTTATCAACCTCCGCATTGAGCAGGCGAGCTGTAGCAATCTTATGTTGCTCGCTAGGCTGCAAGTAAGCTGTTAGGCACTTGTATTTCTGAACCCCTGAGACACTGTGATATGTGATGACGAACCGGACAAGGTAGGTGAGATGCTCGGGGTTGTTTTTCCAGTCTTAGTCCGGTATACCCTTTCCTTGGTTATGTACATACAATTATCCCTTCACTGTGCATAGTTCGAAGCTCCCCCCCCCCCCCCCCAACACACACAATGGTTGCCTCTTTGCTTTGTCATACCACAACCATTCAACGCGGTGAACCCCTCGATAGGCGATTTGCCTTTGAGTCATCCTAATAAAGTTATTATTACCATAATGTTACGCTTGAGGTCTTGTAGCTGGCGGTGAATAGCACTGCGGAATTGCAGCAAACTGTTCTTGGAGTACGAAAGCTTGTGGATCTGCCTAATTTCCACATACGCATGCTTTAGGATTGAGGAAAGGTTGGTAGCTGAGATGGTTTTCAGATCACATTTTTTCTTATAGACTGTACACCAAACATCCGAGACACGTTGGTGGCTCGCTTCGTGTTGGTTGAAACACGGCTTTCTCGGATTCTGTCGATCTCATCCTCCGACACTTGCACAAATCGTTGAGACGTTTCTTCTACAATACTTGGCTCGGATGTTACACGTTTTTCCGTGGTGGTCTTCTCCAGTACTTCGCCATTCGACAAAGTTGCAGTTGCGGTTGATGATAAAGAAAAATCAGACACTTCGGCTAGTTCGCTGGGTGATAAAAAAATTGAAATAATTTGCAGCAGCCTCTAAAAGCTCTTGATCTTCCAAGTCACCTTCACAAACGCCCAAATCAAAGCTAGCCATTTTTCTCACGAGGACACGATAAGGACAAGCTTTAGAAGAAGAATGGTAAGTTTCTGTTTGTGCTTACCCTCGCCTTGTCATTCTTCATGGTAGGTCAACTTGGATGCGTACTATAGATGGAATTGCATATGTAAGGAATTCATTGTTGTCACTAGCCCCTCCACATAGACCCCCTCCCACAATCCCAAGCCAGCTGGCCAAAGGAGGGCTGGGGGGGGGGGGGGGGGCTGGCGACGGCAGTGAAATCCTAAATATGCAGTTTCAGCTACAGTACGCATTCGAGTATGTGAGTACCAATGGGTACTGTACTAGGTACGCAGCCGGGTGTGATATGGAGCAGCAGGGGTGATATGGAGCAGCCGGGTGTGATATGGAGCAGCCGGGTGTGATATAGAGCAGCAGGGGTGATATGGAGCAGCAGGGGTGATATCGGCCTATATCACCCGCCTAGGAAGGGCAGTGATTGGCCCATTCCTAGGAAACGGTCACCTGATATGTGATAATATTGTTTTATGTACTCTTTGGTACAATTCATAATAATACCAGCCCAAATTAAGCCACTGAATATGCAGCATGACGCATATATGGCGCATAGCCCACATGGTGACTTGATCGCGACACGTGGCGCCTACGCCTAGACTACGGGATTCTTTTACTTTTGCATCAACAATAACGTTTTTGGGCAGGGAGTACGACCACTCCTTGGTTCCCCCTGCGAGATTCAAGCACCAGACCACATGGAGTCGAGGAGGAGTTTCCTTTCAGCAAGGGCGAGCCACAATGCTAGGTTTTCTAGGTAAACAGTCAGTCTCGGCCTGGGATTCTAGAAGTATTGCTCGAGTTTGGCTGTTCGGCTGAGGTGACAGCTGAAGAGCACAACAGGATGATGGGCCGTAATGGAGCTGTATCCGGAGTTTTGCTGGCGCTCCTGATGTGTGTGGTTGGCGTGTGTCGTGCCGCGATGATCAATGCCGATGTGGAAACACAATACCAGGATACGGTGTCACCGGGCAGCACTCGCGTCTACTTCTTTCGCTGGAACCAGCACAGCGCGGCGGCCGGCCGGGCCGTCGACAGCTTGCTGCCACTGCGAGTGTCGGTGAGCAGCGCGAACGCGTCCGACAATAGGCTACTGACGGTGCTGGTCCGCGGCAATCACGGCGCCCTCTCCTGGGTGCTGCCGATGGCCGCCGAGGGCAGCAGCGGAACGTATCAGAACAGCACACGGACGATCTGCCCCGGCGTGCTGGGCAACTCGCCGAACGGCAATCAGACCCTGCTAGTGGACATCTCAACGCCAGCCAATGCCACCCTGGACTACACACTCAGGGTGGAGGCAGTGCACGATTTCACACTGAGAGCAAACGAGAGGCAGAGCGTGTTCCTGAGTCCCGAGGTGCCGGTGTATTACGAGTACAAGTTCGCGCCCGATGACGAGATTGTAAGCGTTCGGGTGGACGCCGACGAGGACCAGTGCGCCATCGTGTCCGTCAAGGAGGCCCGCTGTCCCGTGTTCGATCTGCCCCACGACGTCCGCTCCTCGGGCTTATACCAGACGTTTGCCATGTCGTCGGCCCTGCCCATCCAGCGCCGCAACATCCGGGGCAGCTCTTTCTACGTGGTGATTGTGAGCTTGTCGGGCAGTGAGGCGTGCCAGGCCTCCTTCCATCACCAGTTTCTGGAGGGCAGCGGCGGTGGAATAGGCGCGAGCCTGCGTCAGGCGAGGCGCTACACGCGCGCGGCGTACGTGAGCGTGGTGCGAACGCCGCGTCAGCAGTTCGCCGTGCCGGTGTTCGCCCTGGTGGGCTTCTTTCTGGCGTTCTACGTCGCGTCGTTCCTGGTCCTGGTGCTGCGGTTCACGTGCCGCACAGACCGCACGCTCACACTCGCCGAGTTTGTCCTCGGCTCGCCGCCGTCCGCCGACACCAAGTCCGTGGAGGCGCGGCGCCAGACGCTTATCGTCGAGGAGCACCCGTGTATCACGAAGCGTCGACTGGCCCTCGGCGCCCATCAGTCCAGCTCGACGTCAGTGTGTATCGAGCTCGGCTCTCCCACAACACCGTCGCCGTCGCCAAAGATCCCCTTGCCGTCCCCTAGCCACCTGGCGAGACGCAGGGAGAAGTCGAAACTGGCGGCCATGAATTCGGGCAGCCCTCTGGTGGTCGATGCTTCTGCAAACAACGGGCAATTGAGCGCACAAGCGCTTGATGCTCCCGACGACGCAAGCAGTGGTAACGACGGTCAAAGCACTCGGTCTAGTGGCAGCGACGTGCTCAACCAGCACCAGCTGTCAGCCGGCGGCAGGGAGCGCAAGGTCCCTCTGCAACACACGTCGTTCCAGACGTTGGACGACGTCAGCGACACGGAATCGCGTTTTTTCCCCGCCAGCAGTAGCGTCACGGGCTCTGATCGGCTACGTGCCGTCTCCTGCTCCACCAACGCCAGTGCGGACAGTATTGACTCCGCGGGGCTCGGCAGCAGCAGGCTCGAAAAGCAGTCTGGCTCACTCGGGAACAGCGGCAGAGACGCCCCCGCTCCCCCCGCGCTCACACTCTCCGTGGCGCCGACCAAGCGCAAGCCGCAGTCCGAGGCACTGGTGCTGGACACCCTGAGCATGTCCAGCGTGTCTCGACTGGGCACTTTGTCCAGCGTGGCGGCGCTGAATCAGGCGCCTCCGGAGGTGCTGGCCCGCCGCCTCCGCTCCTACCCGCTGCTGGTGGTGATCGTGGGCGTCTTCTACGGCATCCCGGCCTTGCAGCTAATGCTCAACTATCAGCTGGCCGTCGATCTCACCGGCAATCAGGACATCTGCTACTTTAACTTCCGGTGCGTGCGCCGCCTGGGCTCGTTCAGCGCGTTCAATCACGTGATCAGTAACCTTGGTTACGTGCTGCTGGGCGTGCTGTTCATGCTGCTGACGGCGCGTCGCCACCGCCTGTACTCGCACCGCACCGCGCAGGACGCTCGCACGACGACGGCGCGCGGCCTGCCGCAGCACTTTGGCCTGTTCTACGCGCTCGGGCTGGCGCTGTGCGTGGAGGGCGTGATGAGCGCCTGCTACCACGTCTGCCCGACGCCGCTCAACATCCAGTTCGACACCACGTTCATGTACATCATCATCTGCCTGGCCAACATGCACATGTACCAGAGCCGGCACCCGGACATCATCATCTCGGCGCCGCGGCCCCTGGCGTTCACCGCCGTGGTCATCACCATCGTGGCGCTCGGCGTCCTGTACAACACGCCGGCGTTCTGGGCGTGCGTGTTCGTGCTGCACATGACCGCCACGGCCGTCGTCGTCGCGCACTTCTACTTCAACTCGCTGGCGCGCATGCAGGAGGCCGTGCGCACCATGCTGAGCACGCGGCGCGTGCGGCCCATGCGCCAGCCCTACCGCTGCCTCCTGCTGACGATTGCGGCCGTCATGAACCTGGCAATCGCCGTGTACGGCGTAGTCTCGCAGCCCACTGGCTTCTCCAACTACATGCTGTCGATCATGATTGCGAATCTCGTTCTCTACACAGGCTACTACTGCACGCTGAAGCTGCTACACCTGGAGCCGTTCCGGCAGATCACGCTGCTCTACTTCTTCCTGTGCATTCTGGCCGCCCTGCCCGCCACCTACTACTACTTGAAGAGCCCCGCCGACTGGAGCAAGAGTCCCGCGTACTCGCGATCGCTGAACAGCCATTGTACGTTCCTGGACTTCTTCGACAGCCACGACCTCTGGCACATTTGCTCAGCTCTGTTTGTGTTCTTCACCTATCTGGCGCTACTGACCATTGATGACCCGTTGGCAAACGTTGCCAGAATAGAAATTCCCTCCTGGTAGGGAAATCCCCTCCCGGTTGGGAAATTCCCTCCCGGTAGGTCAATCATGGTTGTATTGCTGGTGTGTGGGTTTGCCCCCACAAGAATAGAGTTTTCTTTGACCTTGAAGCTATTTATCTCTATCTCCGTCTATGTGTCTCTCTCACAATTTTTAAAAGTATGTCACATCGTGTGTGTAATAATATGTGTGTGTGCGTGAGTGTGTGTGTGTGTGTGTGTGCGTGAGTGTGTGTGTGTGTGCGTGAGTGTGTGTGTGTGTGTGTATGTGTGTGTGTGTGTGTGTGTGTGTGTGTGTGTGTGTGTGTGTGTGTGTGTGTGTGTGTGTGTGTGTGTGTGTGTGTGTGTGTGTGCGTGAGTGTGTGTGTGGATGTGTGTGTGTGTGTGTGTGGGTGTGTGTGGGTGGGTGTGGGTGGGTGTGGGTGTGTGTGGGTGTGTGTGGGGGGTGTGGGTGTGTGTGGGTGTGGGTGTGTGTGTGTGTGTGGGGGTGTGTGTGTGTGTGTGTGTGTGTGTGTGTGTGCGTGAGTGTGTGTGTGTGTGTGTGTGTGTGTGTGTGTGTGTGTGTGTGTGTGTGTGTGCGTGAGTGTGTGTGTGTGTGTGTGTGTGTGTGTGTGTGTGTGTGTGTGTGCGTGAGTGTGTGTGTGTGTGTATGTGTGTGTGTGTGTGTGTGTGTGTGTGTGTGTGTGTGTGTGTGTGTGTGTGTGTGTGTGTGCAGGTGAGTGGATGCATGCAAGTGTGGGCGTGTGTGCGTACGAGTGTTAGCATGTGTGGGTGTGGCGGCGTGGTTGGGGAGACTGCTTGCTTGCTCTCAATTCGCAACGACTCCGGAATAGCCCGTTTCGCTGCAGGATGCTGACACTTGTTGTCAATACAGATGCTATTCTAATATTTTTTTAGTATTTCCAATGCTGATCTTGCTGCTTTCCTGGCTATGTGTTCTGCACTGTACTGCAAACTATTTGTGTAATAAAAGGAAATTAAAATAAAAAAATTTGTGTAATAGAGAGGTTTAAAGATGCATGTTATTCCCGTAGCTATGCAGAAGACGTTACTTCAGTAACGTCTGACGCTAGCCAGGGTCTACACAGCTTTAATTTGGTGTTGGTTTGTTTGTGTGTTTGTGTGTTTGTGTCAAGCCTGGCGCTATCCCGTATCTGTCCCGTACCGTACAGTACCATCAAATACAGTTGGCCACATACAGCTGGCCGCAATATTCAAATAGGGCTTTCAAACGCAAGATCATAACGTGAAACAACTTGGAAGAATGAGTATGAACGCGAAGTGTATGGGGGATTTCATGTGGGGCGATAGTGCGGGTTCTAATCCCAGGTATAGCCTAAAAAATAGGAGAATTGAAAAATTTATAACATCCCTTTTCTTTTTTTTGCCGTCATCAAGGCGGCAGACGGTGTCGTATTACCCTCGACCGTACCTATCCCGTACCGTACCTTACATTCAAAGACGGCTGGCGTTAATGCATATTCAAATAGGGCTTTCAAATGCAAGATCATAACGTGAAACAACTTGGAAGAATTAGTATGTATGCGAAGTGTATCGGGGATGATGCGGGTTCGAATCCCATTTATGTCTCAAACAAAAAGTAGAAACTTATAAGAATTTATAACATCCCTATGCTTTTTTGTCTAGGTCATCAAGGCAAAACAGCATAGTGTAGGGCCCTGAGCTTCCAAGCTCTCTCGTTTCCGACGTGACGCGCAATTTGACGTCAAATTTGGCGTAAAATGCCAAATTTCGACGTGAGCTAGCTTCAGGTCACTGGCGTTGTTTTTCGACGCGGCAAACCAAATAACGTGAGCTGAACTTTTTCGCGTCACGTCAGAAATAACGTGCATCTTTTAAAACCTCTCTATTGTCCGGTACTGAGTTTGTTACTGACATCTTCTTTTAAGTGCTACCTTGAACTCATAGTACTCTAGTTAGGCGTAGATTTTCCAATTATTTGCTCTAGATTGTGCTTTCCCGAGGACAGAAGTCACGTGGCAACGAGCAGGCAGTGTGCCCAATTACTGCTTTTCTACTTTTG